GGGGGAGGGGGAGGGGGAGGGAGGAAAGCTACAGGACAGTCCCCTTCATGTACTCACAAATTTATCTTTCATAAAAACAAACAAACAAACAAAAAAGAGAAGAAGAAAGAACTAATAGTTACCTTAATAAAGTACCAAAATTATAATCTTCTACTTTGTTCTTGAATAGATTGCAAAATGGCCGCCATCGCTATAATATTAAATTGTAATATATTTAATTCAAATAGGTATATTTAGCAGTTAGAACATTCCATGACTTCCTATGGAGCTGGTTGATGCTGGACCCCTTTTGGTTCCCAGAAAAATTCCATTGATAAAGTTCTAAAAAGGCCCTCCTCTGATCAGCCTCTGCTTTTAATGAAAATTCCAATCTCCAAACTCCAAATCTTTGGGGAGGGGGGAGGTGGGGGAATTAATTGCCTTAAAAGAATTGTCAATGCAAAAAGGAAATGTGATGGCTGACTCACTGCTTTTGCTATCTCTGATTTGAATTCTTCCTCTTTTATAACTTTGACCTAAATAAAACACATAAAGGCATATAGAAGTCTGTGAAATTTATTAATTTATTTTAACAATATTTATGGTTGGTTTACTGGATAGGTTGGTGAGGTGGACGGATGGACGGACGGACGGACGGACGGACGGATGGAATATAAATAATGATAAATAGAAGTATACCTGAAGAGTTTTAAAATATCTCTTGAATTGTCTGTAAATGTCATCATCATAGCTAAGAGAAAACATGAAAAACAACAAGGTTTCAAACATCATTTCAAAGCTATTTCAACATTTTTTAATAATTCAGGATCGGAGATTAAAAAAGCTAATACACCTCTTGAGCTTGAGCATAATGTTTTCTTATTTCAGACCTTGTATTCATTCCTTTGTTTTAAAACCATTATGCATGGGAAGACACATGAATGTGGACACAAGCTATACAAAGAATATTATTCTCAAGGCAATGACATGTGTTCTGAAATGGAAAAACAATATGCCCAAGCTGAAGAGATCAATATTAGTGGTTCAGATGCCAGTGCATTTGACACTAGACCAGTTACTGGACAACCTGAGCATACAACTATAGTTTCACATTATTTAGGAGGGAAACATTTTGCTTGTACATTAGTTATAATTCAAATATAAATTATTCATTTTGAAGAACATATTGCAACTTACTTGGTCAATTTTAGCTTTGATGAATCAAATGCTGATATCAACTGTGAATGCAAGAAGAAATAATATTAAAATTCCCATAAAAGCTTATAACAAACATAAAAATTTTTTCCACTTCAAATGATCATGAAGGTGAACTTGGGTGTTCACATCATTTAATATAATAATGATAAAGACATCATTGGTAAAACCCAAAATGCAAATCATTAGTTTACATTGAGGCCTGCCTATAATGCTCAATGTTCATCTGCTGAATCACAAATATGATAGAATTTGTACTAGTGTTGACAGCACATGGTAGTTAGTGTTTGACCACCATTTAATCAAATAACAACATTCGAAGACTTTTATCAGCTGATTGAAACCTAGCATATCAAGATAAATATACTCAAAGAAATATTCAAGCAGAGGGGTCTACCTTAAAATATGTTTCTGCATGTGTGTGAGCCTTTATGGCCCATGCCACTTCAACCTCTGGCTAAAAAATGAAGAAGAATTAACTATTGAAAGAAGTTAACCGGAACACAAATACTAGAGTGAAGTCATTTAACAGGTAAATAAAATACTAATCAACATGTTATGTAATGTTTAATAAACGAGCAGGAGTGTTTTATCGGGTATAAAACACGAGGCGCAGCTGAGTGGTTTTAGACCCGATAAAACACGATCTGCGAGATTATTGAACGGCTTAGAAAACTTATGATGTTTGTTCTCATTGTGTACCGATTTTTTTAC